TGAAGTTCTTTCTACCTTCTATAACATAGCACACAACCTCAAGGCAGTCTATGAAATGAAGGCGTTATGCCATAAATTTCAACTAATTTATTATGAACTTTATGCAGATGAAGCTATTTTCATATTTGGAAGTCAAATCGATTCATACTTTGGGAACCAGATGTCCAGGAGAGTTGTAACATTCTGCTGAGCACAAACCACATCAAACATATTTCTAAACATACATAATTATGAAAATTATTGTGCACTTTACAGACGTTCCAGGATATAGATCAGGCCTCAGCAATTAATTTGATACACATACATTGTGAACTAGATAATGTTATAAACTTACAAATAAACTAAATGTTAATCTCTCCATGAAGATCCGCACAGAAAAATTCTGCCACCATTTCAGCTATATTGAAAATTAGGGACCATAAGTAAAAGTATCAGCTTCTCTGCCATTCCAAATTTATGTGTCATTTTTCTAAGCAGAACATGTAAAGAATATCATGCAATCTGTTTTTGGTAGTAGTAAAGGTTTCTTGCAGTTCTAATATTTTCTGCATCATCATATAGTTGGCAGTTTGTATTCTAAAATGCGTTAGCCCAAACAGGTCATTTTATTCATAAACATTTTAATTCCTACAGTATTTAATTGCATATTTGATGTAGAGGCTTTAAATACTGGAGGAGCAATAGGAATTAGAGAATGTTAAGGAGACTTGCTACCAAATAAATTTAGAAACTTTTCACAAATATGCTGTTTTCTTGGAAATTCCCAAATATATAAGTATATAGGTTACTTTTAAAATTCTAAAATCAAGATACTGATATTAAATATTGTAACTATTAAACAAATATGGCTAATGAAGTCAAAAGTTGCTTTTACAAAATCTATGTTAAGGTTTGTAAAACAAATGAATATTTTTCTACTTATTTTCAGTATTTTACAATTAATTTTGAGGGGTTTTGTTTCTAGGATAAAAACTATTAAGTTGTTAAAAATCAAACTTTAGTCTTTAATGTCTCACCTAAAAGGAGTGTTATAATTCACCTATTATTTTCTATTTTCTGCTAATCTTTCTGAGTAAGAAAAATATTAAAACATGATAGAGGGGAGTAATAAAATATTTTAAAATTTAGATTTTTGGATTTCATTCACCTCTCTATTTATTTCCTAAATAGTTTTGAACAGCACTTTAAAATCCATGTAGTAGTAATACAAGTGTTCTAAGTGTTCTACATGTTTAAATGGTTCTTTATCTTGGCACTGCTTCTTTAGAAGAGTTTTGTATTTCCGTTTTTCTTTTTCAACAACAGATATTTTTAAATGAACATTCTAAATTTGCTTGTTTTTTGTTTGTTTTGTTTTTTTTTTTTTTTTGGTTTAGTACTCTAGAAGTTCTATCAGAGGCATGGGTATTAAAATCAAAATACTTTGTTAAAGGTAGCCTCATTGGTTTTCTGTTCTGGGTTGTCACATAAGTTTTTTTAATTCTTTGTATATCCTGGAGATTAATGTTCTATCTGAGTACCTTTGGTAAGTATTTTCTCCCATTCTGTATGCACTCCCTTCACTTTCTAGTTTTGTTTCCTTTGCTGTGAAGAAGCTTTTTAGTTTGATTCCATCTCATTCATTGGTTCTTGACTTTTACTTCTTCCACTTTAGGTGTCTGATTGAGGAAGTCAGTTTCTAAGCCAACATGATGGAGAATTGAGCCTACATTTTCTTCTAGTGGGCACAAGATCTCTGGTCTAATGCCTAGGTCCTTGATCCCCTTTGAGTTTAGTATTGTGTAGGGTGAGAGATAGGAGTTTAAGTTCATTTTGTTACATATGGATTTCCAGATTTCCCAGCACCACTTGTTGAAGAGGGTATCTTTTCTCTAATGTACGTTCATGGTACCTTTGTCCATTATGAGGTAACTGTATTTATGTATGTGTCTGCGTCTTCCATTCCATTGGTTTTCCTGTCTCTTTTGGTGCTAATACCATGCTTTTTTTGTTACTAAAGCTCAGTAGCATAATTTAATGTTTGGTATTGTGATACCTCCTGCTTCACTTTTCTCACTAAGGATTGACTTGGCTCTTCTGGGCCCCTTATTTTTCCAAATGAATTTCATGACAGCTTTTTCTTTTTATATGAAGAGCCTCATTGGAATGTTAGAAGGAATTTCATCAAAGTAGGAGGATATAAAATTAACATCCATAAATAAATTGGGTTCCTATACACTAATGATGAATCAGCTAAAAGAGAAATTAGGAAAACTATCCCATGCTCAATAGCTTAAAAAAAAAAAATAAAGAAAGAAAGTACTTGAGAATCTAACAAAAAGGTGAAAGACCCCTACAATAACTACAGAATACTAAATAAAGAAATTGAAGGATACCTTATAATATGGAAAGATTTTCCATGTTAAGTGTAGGGAGAATTAATATTATCAAAATGGCCATATTAAGAAAAGGTTAAGCTATTCTTGTAAGAGTCAACTTTGTTCTAAGTTTCACAAAAGTCGCATATGCAATAATGTAGCCTTGTTATCCTTGAAATCCTTCCTGCTAGGTTGGAAATTCCTAGTCCATGTTGTATCCAATTACTAAATGACACATAGTTTAGGCCCTGTCAGCTACTTGAATGGGTCTTACAGCTGTAGTTAGTCTTATAACTATGATGTATCTCTTATTCTATACTGGATCAATGTTAGGATATTTTTTTCCTCCTCCAAATCTTTAGGAATTACTAGTCATTGAATGCTTTTCAAAATCAAGTACACTGTCCCTAAAACCATTATGTTACAATTTGTATCTCTCTATCTATTTAGTTGTAGATGGACACAATACCTTTATTTTGTTTGTTTATTTTTATGTGGTCCTGAGGATCAAACTCAGTGCCTTACACATGCAAGGCAAGCATGCTACCACTGAACCACAACCTTAGCCCCTAATTTACCTTTTATTAAACTAAATTGATGTGATGTTTGCTAATTATATTCATTCCCGTATTTGATTGATGAGTTCAAGATTGATCTGTTTATTCTTTTTAATGGAGTATTTTTCAACTGTGAAGCTTTAAAAAAAGGAAAAGGAAGAAAATAACCTACTCACCAATGTTGTGCCCTTATGCTTCTATATTTCTTCTGGAATAAGTGTTTTATTCTTCTAGTGCTGTGTTCATTTTAGATAATTTTTAAGTCTTATTTGTTGTGTATATGCATACTTATTCTTTTATCTTTGATCAATAAGACTAGTTAGAGTTTTAATGGTCTCAAGTCAAATAATGCAGACTAAAGTCTTCCATAAAGTGAGTAGAATTTGACAATGAAAGTACCTCTCATTAATAATTTATGTAGTTAGGAATTAGTCAAACTATTTACAATCCCCAAACTTGAAATTAAGTATGTGAAGACTGCAGTAAAATTTAGATAACAAGGAAATAAAGAAATGCTTTATGAGAGATATATGGAAGTGTAGAATTGGCACAAAATAAAAGTGAGGTTGAAAGAATGAATTAAAATGGAACTTAGTTAAAAGTTTAAGGTGCACTTTCACCCCATTTAGTTTATTGGCCTGTTACAAACCAGAATTTTACAAATGAGAAGGTGTAAAGGGGTGGCCCAAGAAGAGAGCTGCTCCAGGGTACTTGCCCACTGTGTGCTCACAAGTTAGGATGCTAATTTCTTTAGCACTCATGACTCCTCTGCTACTACTAAACTGATATTTTGCATAAGATGTTTGTGACAGGCATTCCTTTGTGTATACATGATTGCCAAAAAAATAATATAATAGATATTGAGATTAAAATAGACTAACTTAGACACATGGATAAAAATTGTTGCTGGTGAATTCTGCATTTTATTAAACTTATTCTACTATGTTCATAAAATATTTAAACTTCCCCAAAAAACTCAAAAGTTTTTGAGGTTGTGTATACAGTAAAAATAATATTATAATCTAATAAGTAAATAATCTGTTTGGGAATTGAAACTGAGACATTGGTATGACAGCAAGGAAGTGACTGGGGAAAGCAACATGTCTGGAGTGCTAGGTAATCAGCCAAGTGACAACAGTGAGAAATTGGAACTTAATGTCCCTGGGAACTCTGAGAGTCAGTATAAGGAATATATCAGAGTTATTTTGGCTATGAGACTACGCACACACACACACACACACACACACACACACACACGCACACACACATAAAAAAATTTGGCTGGAACATTTATATGCCAACATTCAATAGTCACTAGTTGAATTCTGCTCATAAGGGACAGTGATTCTTCAACAGTTGCACTTGCATAGAGTGAGTTCCATAAATCAGAAAATCCCAAAGAAGGTACATATGTGGCAGTGGGAAGTTCTCTTGTGTGCACTAAAAAGGTGAAATCAAGGGAGATAGTGTAGGGCATCCATAGCATGAGGGTGTTTCTAGGCTCTAGAAATACATTGTTAAAAACAAAAACAATGTATATTCCTGCCTTTAAAGATTTGCATTGAAATTCTGCGCTATCAATTACAACATAAAGAAGTAATATGTTCATGTTTGTAACTGCTTTGGAGATGAACAAACACAAGAGAGAGTGTATTTTGATATATGTGGATCTCTGGAATATAGATAGCTTGTACAAAAAGTCCTCTATAGGAGGGAGATATTTAAGCAAAGGTCTGAAAGAAATGATGCAGTTATGCTGATGGCTTGGCGAAGACCACTGGACAAAATTTAAGCAGCAAGTGCAAGGTCCCTAGATGGCACACATGTCTGGACAAGGACAACAGAAAGTAGAAAAAGTTATTTGGCTGTAGTGGAGTGAGTAGAAGATATTAAAGTCAAAGTGACTATGAGGAACAGGTTGTGCTGGACTTTATAGATAATTTCAAAGGGTTTGACTTTTACTTTAAGTGAGAGAGGAAGGCATTAGTGGATTCTGTGAGGATGAATGACATGATGTAATCAATGTTTACAGCAACACTTTGCTGCCTTGACAACAGACTGCAAAAACAGATTAGGGAAACTATTACAGTGATCAGGACACATGATAATTATGACTTAAAACAAAGCAGTAGCAGTGGAGTTGCTGAAAAATATTTTCCTCTGGAAATATTTTGAATAGGAACTGGCAGGAGAAACTGACACATAGAGTGAAGGGGACTAGCAAACAGAAGTCCAGGAGGACACCAAGTTATTACTAAAGGCAGAATTGCCATGGTCTGAGAGAGGAAGAAAATATAAGCATAGTAAATTTGAAGAAGACTGGGAATCCACTTCTGGACATGGTAATTAGTGTGGCAGTGGGAAGTTCAAGTTGAAATGTCAGATTACAGGATGTCCTTTTTTTTCCCCCTTGAATTTCACAAGAGTAGTTTGGGATAGGAATATTTAAGTTCAGAAGACATGAGAATGAATGAGATCACCAAGAGAGTAAGTAGACTGAAAAACTAAAGACATCTAAGGGATAAAACTGGAAACATTTCAATATTAAGGCAACAGGCCAAAGAAATGAAGATCCAGCAGGGGGATGCTAAAAAGTAGCTAGTGAGAAAAAAGCAAAGCCAGAAATGTGTAGTGCCATAGAGGTTAAGTAAAGAAATTATTCTAGGGGTGAAGAAGAGACAAATTTTGTCAAATGTCACTGAAAAGTTAAGTAAAATGTCAGGTGAATTTTTACCGTGGGATTCAGAAATGTAGAGGTCATTGCTAACTTTGAAAAAGGAAAAATATCACCTCTAAGGTAGAAAGATGAATCTAATAACAGCGAGTTCAAGAAATGGTGGGAAGAGAGAAATAATTAGAGATAGTGATTCAGGAGAGTTCTTTTACTCAAAGCAGAAAATGAGAAAACAAAATCAGTAACACAGGAAATCACACACACTCCAGCTAATAATCAGCAATTGTTAGTTATTAGGGAACTACAATGTTCCAGATGTTATACTTAAGACTGGAAAAACAGCCATGAACGAGATGCAAATAGAGCACTCACTCACTGCCTAGTTGACAAACTTGGATCTTTTAATGATCATCTTGTGCCAGAACAGAGTAATCTGTTTCCACATCAAACACCCACAACCTGAAACTTAGGTAACTGCTCTTTTTTTTTTTTTTTAACCTTCTCTGTACTCTGAAGACAGACCTCTTCTCTTATCCTATCCTTCATCACCAACACAATTTCTCTCCATCACTACTTCAGAATCCACAGATATGAAGGATGATTTCTGACACCTTTGAATACTTAATTTGAAGGTCGCTTTCTTCCACCTGACATGGAGTTGGTAGGTGATATTCAGTAACTACTTCTGTCTTTATGGACAGAAAGAGATATGGAATAGGTGAGTCAAGTAAGTGGAGAAATCCCAAATGAAGATCCACAGAATCTTGCAGTTGAAATTCAAAAACTTCCTCATGACTCCGATGCCAGCTCAGCTTTATCATGGACCTTCTTGAATTAGTGTGGGATTTGCCTTATCTTGATCCTTAAAAAATAATATTTTAAAATTAAGCTAACAAAAACTCCAGGGGCTGGGGGAAGCCAAAACTCTATTCTTTGAATCAAATCAACCCAAATCTATTGTAACTGAACTGTTCTCCTCACTCCTCATCACTGTGTCTGTACACACAACTATGATTTATTGTTTCATATTATAGTGTTTCTGGCACAATAATTATATTGTTAGTCTACATCTTTTACTTTAAGTATTAGCCAATATAGAATTATAAATTGACACTCTTTTAAATTCCTTATATTTCACAACTTACAAACATTTTAATCTGAAGAAAACATAAGAGATATATGTTTCTGCAGGTTCAACTGAGCAAGAAAATATTTATGGCACACCATGCTATTGTAGTCTGACCTGTTAATGCTCAATGTTCATTACAAATTCATTAGCACCCGACTTCTTTCTATTCTTTTCTTCCTTTATTTCTGATCTACTGGATTTAGGCCAAGGAGAGATTTTCTACAGAAAACCTTACCTAATTAGCCTGCTAGCCTCATCATAGTTTCATAATAATTTCTATACTTTAAAAAATAGTTCATTTTATGAAAAAAAAAAAACAAGGAGAATTTGAGCTATATACTGCTTTCTCCAAAAAAGCTTTAGGTGCAGTATTTTTTTTTGTGAAAGTCATGGGGAAAGACAATTTTTAAAAATTATTTCCAAGACTTATAATGCTAGGCATTAAGTTGACACCCCCCAAAATGGGTTATTTTATGACCTCTTTCTGTACGACTAGATTTGGTTCTTAAGATGTTTTTGCTCATTTTATGGAGGAGAATAGTCAAGATAAACATATCTATGTGATTTATTGAAAATCATATGTATAGTTAATACAGGATTCTCTGTGTTAAAAGAGTCAATCTTACTCCAGGTCAGGAATTATAACTGCTGGCTGGTGATATTGTATATTATCCTATTATAAATACATGTTTAGTATGTATTCAAATAAATACAGATCAGATAATGATTCTATTTTTTATAACTATCAATTTATAATTAACGCAAATGAGTTTAATGTCTTTGGAAAAAGACTGACATTTCAGAAGTGAAGTAGTAATTAAATACCACCCTCGTATTTCATGAGCTTGTATGTTGGAAGGTGCGTAGACAGGAAAAGAAGGGGGTGAGCAGCAGTTTAAAGGGTAGGAGGTCTATAATTTCTGAAAGTTTCTGCTATTCTGATATATTTTTCTGAATTACAAACAATTAGATTTCTACTAGAAATCTGCTCTCAGTGTTTATTCTTAGAATCACTGTATTCCTATTCTTCTCCTACCTTTCTAATAGGCCGGGCAAGGAGGACCATCTGGCTAATTAGAAGCTAATAATACAAAGTCTTTTACTTTTCTTCTTCCATACAATGTGAGGTGAGGACGTCCTCTTTCCTAATATGCTGTTTCCCACCATCAGTCCATCTATGGGTTCCTCACCATTTTGATTATTGTTGTAATATCTTCGCAAATTTGTTTCAGTTATACTTCTGGTGACTTTTAAGATCACATAAAGAATAACATTTTTGACTACAAAGAAAATAGAAACAATGGGGCTTGCTCTCCTAATGTGTCTGTGTTTGGGGGTGAGGGCACAGGATGAAGAGATGATAAATTAAAGAGCTTGCTCAGTGGCAGCCTGCTTACAGAGGGTTGCAGCCCCTTGTTGCTTTCACTCTAAGACATGGACTCCTTTCTACCTCACCTTTCATGTTTCCTTGGAAGGATTACTATGCTAAACCCTAAATGGGCTCATCATCTATTTGATCTCAAATCAGCAATGAGCAGCATGTACCATGGTTATAACCAAACATCTTTTTTAGAATACTTCTCAGGGGTTTTGTTTCGTTTTGTTTATATTTTAGCCACCCAGATATGCTGCTTTTACTCTTGCTTCCTCTCCCTTTCTGTTATTCTCACAATGGACTTAAATACAGATACTTTTGTCCTCTGGGGCTTTTCTGGGAAATTCAACCTGTTGAAACTGTTTTGTCTATAGTGTGTGTGTGTTCATTCACCCACAACCGAAAGACATTCTGGGAAATAACTCCATTTTTTCAGAGACCCTGAACAATGAGGAGAATATTCACAATTCAATTTAATTTTAGAACTGAATGAATCTTAATTTGCCTTTATTTTTCGAAGCAATTTTTATGCTTTTTTTTTGAGATATAATTGGCAATCAACAAACTGCATGTTCTTAAAGCATACAGTATATTGGGTTCTGACACATATATGTGCATACAGAAATATCAGCATAATAAAGAAAATGAACATATTAATCATCTGCCAGTTTGCTTCTGACTGTCTATGTGGGTACCTTTCTGTCCCTTACTCCTAGACAACAAATAGTGTTTTTATAAGTGTGAATGAATATATATTATCTATAATTTTACATAGAATTTTGTTTGTTATATTCATCATTCCTTTTAATTAGTATTTCATATTCTGGATGAATATATATATATATATATATATATATATATATATATATATCCGTTCTTCTACAACTGAATTTTTGGATTATTTCTAGTTTTGAAAAATTACCAAGAAAATTGCTTTGAATTTTTATATACATATAGTATTCTGTTATGGTTAGGATCTTGAGTGTTCTACAAAGCTCCATGTGTTACAGGGTTTGCTCACACCTTGGCTATATTGAGAAGAAGTAGAAATTTTAAGATGTGGGGCCTCTTGGGAGGTCTTCAGGTCATTGGCAGTGTGTCCTCAACAGGGACCAGAGCCTCATTGTCTCTTTTGCCTTCCAGACATGAGGTGAGTGGTTTTGTTCCACCATGATGTGCCTCCAAAGGACCAAAGCCGTAGAGCCAGACAATTATGAACCAAAACTTCTGGAATTCTGAGCCAAAAAACCTTTCCTCTTTATAAGCTGATGATCTCAGATATTTGTTAGACTGACAGAAAGGTGATTAACACACTTCTTTTCAGTTTTAAATGATACATTTTATAATTGGGAGTTATATAGTAGTTTCTCCTTCCTTCAAAACCTATAAAGCTTTGTTTTAAGTAACAGTAATCTAGTTCCATTTGTTGATGCTAAATTGTTTTCTGAGCTCAAATTTCATTGTTAATTGCTTTATAAATGCAGTCAGTAAGCATGAACATATATTATTAACAATCTGTATTTCAAACTATAGTTTCTGAGATTTAAGTTTATTAGATATTATCAAAGTTTCAAGTTATCAAAAATGATTTTAACAAAAGTTTACTACTATATAATATAAATATCTATGATAGTATGTGTCCAAGTTTTCAGAGCAGAAGCTTATGCAATCTGAGAATATGTTATAAAAGATAACACCAAATTGTAAGCACAAAATTAGGCACAAATTGAATACTCATTAATAATAAGAAAATAACTATAAAAATAATTTCAAATAAATATGAAATATGAGAAGCATTAAAAATTTTAAAAAAATTTTGCCTGATATGCCTATAATTTTTTCTACATTTTTGTTTGAATTATGTTTTATTACATCTTAGTATTGCATGAATATTATCCTTCCCAGAATAATTATTTTCTTTTGTTAGCATTGCAAACACTTTTTCAAAGTGCTGATCATTTGAACACGTGATAGGTAAGATTTGATGGATATAAATACTATTAGTAGTAATGATGTGTGTTTTCATTCCACAAATAAAGAGATTCCGATATATTCCAGACCTTTTGTAAAAAAACATGCATTTTGTTAACTCACATCATTTACTATATTACAAGCAGCAGACAAGTTCAATTTACTAGTGTTTTATTTTTTTTTTTAGAGCTTT